CCTATTACAGAACTACAGTGCTTTCATGAATCTATATAATTGCACTTACTGCTTGCATTTAATTAATTTCTTTGTTGAACCCAATAGTAATTCAGATTTCCTTTAAAAACCTCTTAATAAAAGAATCAGAATCAGAAGAATGTCTATTTAACAGGACAACTCAAGGGGTACGTGAATGAGGACTCTCCAATGCTTTTATTTTCACATGCTGACCCTCAATCAACTTGAGAGTGAATCCCTAAATGAGCACTCTGTGCATAAGTTTTAAACTATTTGGTTTATAGGTGAACAAATACCAAATCACATTTCCTTGAGAGAAATGGTAAAGCAGACTACATCACAACAATGGAATAATACGTTTTTTTAATGTCATTTAGAAAATAAAATTGTAGCCTTATTCTATTCTAAAATATACCTTAGAATGTGACACAATCTAAGGCATAATAAGCAAAGCAGGTTTTATATAGTATTTTAAAATGTATAATAACACTAATTCTGAATTTAAGATTTTTTATCGTTTCACAAAAAACATAAGCAGAGACCGGAAGAGCAACTTGTTATGTGTATTTTTACTATCGTTTTCAGTGTGTAATTGTGTTCTTGAATTTACAGAGTTAGTGCTAACCATATCCTCTCTTTTCCTGTTAAGTGTATTACGCATGCGTTTTATGCCATTTAAAAACACTTGTAAATAAAATGCACTGACAGAATGGAAGAGGGAACGTGCAAATCTAAACTGTAGGTACACAAAATGGCACGAACAGACTGCAAGGTAATCCCCGGTCTTTTAAAGACAAATCGTAGTACACCGATTTAAACATCAAAGTGACTGCACAGACACGTCAAATAATACAACAGCAACCGATCGTTTATTGCGCCGTCAATGTGAAACGGTGTTGAACACCAACGCAACTGAAGCACCTTTAACTTGCCCTGAACACCTTGTATTTCTGCTGGCCACTTCGTTTTTTTATGCCTATCATCTTTAATATTTTCTTTGCTGAAGGTTAAATATCCTCTATTAATCCCCTCCAAAGATCGTAACCTGCATTCCAATTAAGCACTATTTAAAGTAGTATCTACCGGTGCACCGAGATAATGGATTGCTAAACCGAGTATTTAAATTCAAGCAGAAAAAAAGGTATTCCCTAAGAAAATATTTAATTATACGTTGTCGATCTCTTCGGTATGTGCAGCTTAACTATTCCATTAAAGCAGGAAACGTAGCTGCTGAACAGTAGCCTGATGTGCTTTTCGGGTTTTGAAAACAGCCTAATCTGATCTTCACGAAACGAAAGGTTATGGTCGGTTCCTACTCATCGAAGCACAGGCAGATCCAGTTCAATCTGTGTATCTGACCTTTTTCCTTCTGATGTTTAAAGCGCTCTTGAGCCAAAAACGGTGAAGAAACAGGCAATTTTCGTCTAGGCTAAAAATGGTACGCGCTGTGTCTTGTGGGTTGGGGATTACCCTTTGATGCGTAGAAAAATATTTCACTGTAAATTGGAGTTAAGCAAAACGGGCGTTAAGCAAAACAACGTGAGTTTTTATTTCTACGTCATTGATTCAAACTCTTCTACGTGTTTTATTTTTTCATAGGCTTGTGCGGTGGCCTAGTAGGAGTAGCTGTACAACAAGGATGGTTCTCTAATCAGGCTGCTCTTCCGTCACCGATGTAGGTGTCCCCTGCAATTCAGGATCGCTGTCTCTACAGCCAACTCCTCTTTTCCTTTTACCCACCCGGAAATTATACTGAAATGTCAATGCAGTAGCAATTTTCATTTTAAAAAGTCTAAGCGTGATAAAACGTTCCGTATATTACGCACCACAGAGTGAAATCTCGGTGATTCTTCCTGTAAAAAAAAAACAAAACAGAAAAGTACAATTGTATAATTGTGAGTTAAGTGATAGCTTTAACTCCTACATATGTTGCTTGTATGTAAAAATAGACTCCTTTTTCGATATGCTTTAAAGCCGAAACCGCGGAACGTCTCATTCAGTACTGCTAGTCTCTTCCTAGAACTCTACCAACCAGCAGTCCGACAGCAGCTCAAAATTCAGAAAAACACAAGGCGTTTTAATTCTAAATATTTAATATTCTTCGAAATATCTATCTTCCACTTACGTCACTATCGACCTCGATGTCATCGTTGTCGCTCATTCTTCGATAAAATATTTGATCTAATTAAGAAAAAGCTAAAAAAAATAAAATCAAGTACAAACCGAAACGAACAAACAAGCGAATCTCACTGCAGGGACGAAACGAGATCAACGGACTCTCCACACGTGACTCGCCTACACACGGACATTTACACACCGTGACACGCATGTGCGACAGCGCTTGGAATGCTGGGAAATGTGTTTTTCGAATAACAAAGCCTCTTTCCGTAATACACAAACATTACTTACTGGACTACATGACCCATACTCCCCGCAAATGGGCGCTTCCAAGGGACGTAAAACATGGACTTACCTTTGCAGAAGGCGAGTGGGATGTGTAGTTTACTCAAAAAAATGAAATCGAGGGGCCATGATAGAGACACGTGGATGGCCATTTGCAAGCCAAGTTCTAGCTTGCTTGTCAAAATGCTGTGGGTGATGGCGGTCGTCCATTAGTAACGTGTTGCATAATACTTTTTGTTGATAATTATAGTGCTATTGCTGTCATTCATTCAAGACAGCTTACCTGATACTATGTGTAAGTCATATTTGGGGAAGTCCCAAATATATATATATATTTTTTTGTGGGTTATAATTCACATGATTGTAGATGGGCATCCAAATATGCCTGTGAAATAAATTATATTATTTAAAATTATCATTTCTAAAATTACATATAAGCTACATTTTCATTGTAGGTGGGAACATGACTTGTTGGAATTAAATACAGAAATCTCTATCTTGAAAAAGTGACAGAATAAAACAAAGGGTAAGAGGAGTATTGAAATCTCTTGGCAC